ATCGAAAATAGCTCGAGCACGTTCTACATCACCAAGGAGCGTTTCGAGTTCGGCGAACTAAAAATGCTCGTCATAGCTACACTTTTCTACGTCAATACAAGAGAATTTACGAAGTCCATTTTCTAAGATTAAGGTAAGTCTCAAGCTGAAAAAGTGTCGGAAAACTTAAAGTCCACCAAGAAATCAATCTCAGTTCTAGCTAAGTCAATAGAAAATCGATCCTAGCTAAGCCAATAAAATAAAGAAATAAAAAGAGATGAATATGCTCTGGAAACTCACTTTAATCCATGTATTGCTGTTCTCTGATGAATATTCAAGGAACTTTTCATATAATTTCCGACATCGATCGAATTCACGTAATTGTAACTCAAGATCAATATATGCTCGGAAAAGCTTCTCTTTTGGACATTTTCCTATGGATACTCCCTGAAAAAGCCTACCGTTTTCGCAACAAAATTTAAAAAAAATAAAGTGAAAAAGATCCACTAAAAATAAGCACTCTATATAAAATCAATATACTTAAAAGTCAGAATAATACGACAATCAATATAAATCCAAAATAAAACTGATCTCACCAAGATCTTTCTTGCTGCCGATAAATCCATTTGCCTTATTTCAAAGTGAGCAAACATGATCCAAATTTTGGCGAATGTAAACTTTTTATGGGGGATTACATCGAGGCACGCCTTGTACACCTGAAAAAACAACATAACTTCATGAAACCACCTCTGAGGGTGAGATAGTGCGCAACTGAGGTCAACTATTTAAGATTAAGTCGCGCCTGGAAGCGATTGAGTTCTTACCTGTCTCGTTCGTTCCACATCGTGAGCCGTTAATTCTTCATAAAGAGCATAATTGATCCATAAGTAAATATATCGTCGCCAATAGCGTTTCTCCTTCAAACAAACATGTAAAGCTAATGATTTTCCGTCAATCGTATATGTACCACAAACAGATGAGAGCTGTACACTCACTTCGTGCGGTGGAATATTTGCTATAGCACGTTCATACAGATCTTCTACTTCTTCTCGAGGACACTCCTCATTCTCGAGCAATCGCAAATAATCAAACCATGCATCGTAGTTGAAAGAGTTTTCGGCCACTTGCTAAAGATACTAACTAGATGGAACAATGAAAACATTTATCTTTGCACTATGCTATCGTCATGTGTGTGACTATTTTAGAAAATCAGAGCAACTTTGAATAGAAATACAAGGCTGAAACTGGAATTCTTAGGAATGTTCCATCTGATGTGCACAAGACAGACTGAAATTGGGGAAAAAAGCCGGCGCATTAGGCGAACGGACAGTGCATATCCAAGTCGATTCCTGAATCATGAGTGGATCTGGGGTTACCGCAGCAAGAAAGTTTACGCGCGGGAAAGCAGGATTAAAGCTTCTTTCTTAGCGACCTAACCCGTGTGTACAAAGTTCCAAGGTTACCCAAGTTGAAGCACATAATGAGGGTGGCGGCGAAAACGAATTATTTGAGAACTAGATGACACCACGACCGTTATGTCAAACGTTAATAAAGGAAAATCTGAACAATGAGATTTATCAATTCGAAGAAGTTGATTTAAAGACTTGAAATGTCTAGAAAGGTTGTCATCACAAAAAGGAATCAACCCACCTTCTCGTATTGAGTGCGCCGTTTACTAACAATCACATCTTCAATCCCAGCTCTTTCTCCAAACTTCTTCTCATGTACTGTGTAGTGCTTGAAAACGTCCGCTGTACGGTCAGGCGGAAGGTGGTCTAACCCGTATCTGGAAACATCCAAATCGTGCGGCAGAACAACAAAGCAGAACAGTCTTATAAGTTCGTTAATTGAGGAATAGAATAGCAACTTAGAGAAACTTCCTTTATTGCCTCCGTACGTAAAGACAGAGCCATCGCGCTGTACCAGGGCGGCTTTTTAGCGCTTTATCACTAAGATTTAGTGAGCTTGCACACTCCACATTCGCAGGTCAAGCTTAAAAATCGCGATCAAAGAGTGGATGCTCTACCAGTGCAAAGTTTCGAATGCCAAATTTCCCGAAAGTGAAAAAAGCACAAGAATGTTGAGAAAGTCACATAGAAACCTTATCCATCAGCGCTCGACAAAATTACTACGGAAGGTGTGCGCGTTGGAACGAGTTTTCCGGACTTGTTGCACCATGCTAGCCGCGCGGTTGAATAGCTCGTGCTGCCAGAATTGTGGCCGAGGTCTTTCGGCAGCAATAGTGTTGCCGCCGACGCAGGAAGGCGAAGCCTGCCGGCGACGTACTGCGGATTGATAGCGCTTCCACTTGTTGCGCAGCAACTTGGTGACATAGTGGTGATTGTGGCTAGTCCCGTGCAAAGCCTTTAACTGACTCCCTACCCTACATCAACTCTCCATACTTGCGGCTCATAATTTTTCCGCTTCCCACTACTTTATAGCTATATTGGTGAGAGGGTGCAAACAAGCCGCGCGGCGTGACAGCGACTCCCTCTGGCCTATAGCCTATTTGACCTCCGCAATTCAAAACTTGTCAATGTGTGTTTGCGCCCCTCCTTTTGCCTACACGCTACTGTAACCTCACACAAAGATACTTCCAAGACGCGGTAAGTAACCCGAACTCCAGTCCCCTCAACAAGAAATCTGGTGGCTTTAACCCTTTCTTTTGACCTGTGAAGATGAGTCAGCCGCTGTCTCCCCAACTGCCTACGTCCTAGACTTTACTGGTAAAGAACATGGGGATAAGTCCAAGATTAATTCCTTTCTCCCCCTTCTCCAACTACATTTAACGAGTAGGAGAATTCCTATACAGGAGGCGACGAATAGCCCTTCATGTTACGGCGTGCGTTTGGTTAGAGAATAATCGCGCATTCTGCGTTGAATGAACCACAAAGAAAGAATCCTTAAGAAAAGTTTCTGTATAACACCCACTTGTAGATAACCCGCGCTCTCTCATGTTCCTTCTGCCTCTCTTCAAACAAAGCAAAAGCTACGAGGAGCTTCTCGTTGATGTGGTCCTCTCCAAAGTACTCCATCCCTCGCTCGTAGACCTCAAATAGGAGACTGATTAATCAGAGCTTTGATGTTACAAAAAGTGTTGAAAATCGAACAAAATAGCACAGATGATATTAACAACAAGGATCTGCCTAACCTTAATCTCAGAACCTTATTAAATCACCAGAAAAAAAGGAAGAAAAATTCTTAGCAGTGAAAAAGCAAAATTTTTACCGCTCTTGCGTTGCCCACGTAACCATGTTTCTCCTCGAATCGTGCGTACTTTATCCAATTATTGACATTTGTTCCGTGAACATGTAAAAACCGTTGGTATATCGAGCGTGCACGGTCGATTTCTTTGTACCTAACATAAATCATTTTTATCAGATGAGATGATGAAATTCTGTAGAGTAAGGAAAAACCTCAGTTCAAAGTTGATGTATGTCTGCCATGCTTGCTCATCTGGTTCCCATTCCATCCAGCGTTCATAAATCTAAACAAATGTGGTTCATCGCACCAATCAGGAAAAATCTTCCAACATTTTAAGTAAATTCTCGGCAGGCAGTTGTTTGCTTTAAATACAAGGCGAAGTAGCTATTCATCGAACTACAGAACTCCAAAGAGTAAAATCCCTCAACATTTTCTATCTATGGATAAAAAAAAGGATAAAGCATTTGCCGTTGATCAATCCCTTTTTGGGATGCGGCACGCATTCTACTTCCATTTGTACATTCGTAGTGGCGTTTGAATGCGATGTGGCCTATACAATGACTTGCGGGGGCCAGCCGATGTACAAGTCAGTGTTTTTATCCTCCCAGACAAGTCTGGTACCAATTAACCGACCCCGGAGGGATGGAAGGCTTGGTTGGCCCGGGCGACTCACGACCCAGGATTTGATCCCCGGACCGCTCGCGTGGTAAGCGCGCCACTTGTCCACTACACCACTTCCGCCCTCCATGTTGATTACCTAAGTGAAACTACAAATTCCTTCAAAGAGAGTGCTCTAGTAATCTGAGATCTTTTATTTTTCATTTTCCATACAATCAAAGGCTCACAAATTAAACAACTCAAAGGAGAAGTGTGTCATTCCACCAAATTTCAGGATGAACCGACCTGTCTTGCGCCTGGAACGTTTTCAATCACTTCCTCCATGTAGGAGTACTTCAACCAGAACTGCATGCACCGTGGTAGAATTGTTACTGCACGATCGAAAATATTTCGTGCATGATTGATTTGCTTGCTTCTAAAAGGACAACTGTGCAGAAACAAAAGAAATCTTTCAATCACTGGCTGAAAAGCCCGTGACCCAAATCTTATTCCAAACATTCACAGTAACGAGCGAATTGGAAAATAATGCCTGATCAATATCAAGCATCTATATGCACTATAACGACGGGGCGGTTCAATCTTAGTGAAGATTGAACGCGACGTGGGAGTTTACCGCGTCTGAGGTATCCACGAAATATCAGAAAGCCAAATAAACACAAACCTCATCTCCATTTCAGCATACTGCAACCAAATGGTGATCGAACGATGGTCAACGTCGAGAGCGCGTTCGAATACTGATCGTGAACGTTGTATCTCACCAATTGACTCTTCCCATTTTCCATATTTGATCCAGTTTGCAATTTGCATTCTGAGAGGAAAATGATGATTTAGAAAGGAAACGTCTTGTTGTTATAGGGAAATCCGTGTTGCTTCTTTACTTGAAGAATGCTACTCAAAAACTGCGGCGCACCTATTTTTACGGATTCCATCTTCAAACTCCTTCCTTTTCTTCCTTTGAAATTCAGCTAACTCGTCAGGATCAGTGATCTTTGTCTTAGGAGGCAAAGGAATTAACTCCAATTCACGCTCTTTAGCCTCACGAAGAAGCTGCTCAGCTGTGATTTGGAGCTGCGCTGGAGCCTGAAGGAACACATTTACGTAAGGTACATCAACTACTAATGAACCAAGGTTCTAGAATTAAAAGCAAAAAAATCAACACTAGAAACAATTTACCGTAACAAGAAAAGTGAAACAAATATGTACGGAATTCCTTCACAATGAAACAAACTTCAAATACTGCTAAAACAAAATAAAATCAAAGCGGATGTCTAAGCTACCTTATTCTTGACTTTCGCAGCTTTCTTTGGCAAGCGCAAAGGCTTGTTACCCGATACTGGCTCCTCATCGTCACTCATTTTTGCCCCGGTGATTACAACGGTTCTTGGTGTTCTGAAACAAGTAGAATATAAAAATGAACTCTTGAAGAGCTCATTTGCAATGAAATAAGTTACAGAGTTGTTTTCACGAAAAATGTGAACAAACATTTGCTACGAAGCGAAGCCAAGGAAACTATCCAAACATATATCCCAGAGTCCCATGGATAGTTGAATACCTTCACAAGCCATAAAAAACGTGAGAGATTTGACACAAGGAATTCACAATAGAAAAAAGCAGACCAATGCGAATCATGTTCGAAATGGAGACGAAATTCTCGTAGTAGTGCAGTTGCACATACCCCAACTACAAACAGTAGACCACGCCTAATTTCAATTAACGCCAAGACGCTCTACGCTTTTGTTCGATTGATCCGGAAATTTCTCCTGCTCACCAATAATCTCAACTCTTACCCAACGAAATCAGAAGTAAATCAACTCATTCTGTTAAGTTCGAAATTCTGAGCAGCTTCTCCGTTTCGATCGGTCGACCTCCCTTCCCTAGTCTAATTTAAGCCTTAGCTGAAGCGATTAGGCAGAGTACCGAGGCATCACCTTTTTTGCTCGGGATGGATAAGAAATTCCTTTCGAATTTTCGTTTTCTTTTCATCAAGGGCGGAAGTGGTGTAGTGGCAAGTGGCACGCTTACCACGCGAGCGGTCCGGGGATCAAATCCTGGGTCGTGAGTCGCCCGGGCCAACCAAGCCTTCCATCCCTCCGGGGTCGGTTAATTGGTACCAGACTTGTCTGGGAGGATAAAAACACTGACTTGTACATCGGCTGGCCCCCGCAAGTCATTGTATAGGCCACATCGCATTCAAACGCCACTACGAATGTATTAGGTTGTCCTGAAAGTCTTTGCCCATTTGTCCTTTTTTTCAAATCCACTTTTCTTCTTTAGCCCGGTCAGCAATTACAGTCATATGCCCCATCGTAATCGTCAACATATTGCCTTTCAGCAGGTGGCTTGTGGATGCCGTTTGCCTAGAAGTCCTGAGCTTTCAAGGCAAAAACTGGAGGAAGTCCGTTTTCGAGTAGTCCGGAACATGAAAGCTCTCCCTCTTTTAGTTGAATCAGCAGCAACAGAAGCAGACGGTATTCTGTTGGGGCCGGATCTGCTGAACACAAATGGCGGGACAGAACATCCCATGAGGGGCTTGGAGACTTTTGGTGGACCTTCTTCGAAATTCCTTGACGATCGCTGCTCGGATGAAGTGATCTTTGTAATGTTTTCTACGCATAGTGCATGAGATCCCATCCGCTTGCCCACATTATCGAACTACAACAGCAGTGAAGTTCGTTGGTAGGAGCTGTCGGCAAACGGATCGCTTGCAGCTTTACCAAGTCTGAAAGTTGCCTCTCAAGTTGCAGTGCTGGAGTGGACGTCGGAATCTCTGGTTCTACGCGTCTGAGCCAGTGGCGCTCGCGGGTGTGGTTTACTTGAGGAACCCACTCCTTGCTACCACCAACAAAGTAGTCGGGTCAAACAAGATACAGCCGGTAAATCAAAATGTTCATGCAAAATCTGAAGGCTTCTGAGGCGGTTGTCACCCAGATCACGAAATCCCCTTTTCCATAATTTCTTTCTTTTTGAGGAGCTATTGAGGAATGGCTATTGTGTTCTGATGAACTGTGGAAAGCTGTGTCAGTTACCGTGCATTGCACCAGAGACTGTTTCCAAACAACTCCAGAAGACACTCGTCACTCAGGGTAACAAGCCAACCGACTTTGGGCTTTTTTCTCGAGTTTCTGGACATCGGCAACCAACCATGTCGTGAAAGACACTCTGGAGGTCCATCGCAAGACGTAGGCTCTTGCCGCATCGCTTCCATTGACGCGTTTTCTGGGTTTTAGAATCAAGAGTAGCCAAATATGCTTTCAGTCAAAGTCGATTTTCTCAGCCATAATCGCTGCGAAATACCACGGCAGAAATGCTCTGAAGAGATCATTGACTGGGGTTCACATACGTTTTACAATGGATGTTCAAAAATTATCCCTGGAGATTTCACAACATACACATGAAAATGGGCAAAGACTTTCAGGACAACCTAATACAAATGGAAGTAGAATGCGTGCCGCATCCCAAAAAGGGATCGATCAACGGCAAAGATTTATCCTTTTTAAAACAAACTTGCTTCAAGAAAAGCCGTATTTGAAAATAATGTGTATTCAAAAATAGAGAAATGTTGAAGGGGCACTATTCCACTATTACTACCCCAGTAGGGGTGAGATGGGTCAAAAAAATTTTTCTGAAACTTCGGCTATGGGGGTTATCGAGGGTCCTGATCACGAATATGACATCCATTTTTGGCGCTGGCGCCAAATTGGCGCCATTTGGCGCCAGTTGGCGCCACGACTGATTCCCACAAATTCGCTGTAAACTTGTGTATAGGGGTTATGTTGTTCGTGAATTGTGCATTCCTTCTCGAATACATAGTTCCTAGCCGAGAGTACTCTTTTTCTCTCAAAATCTTACCACTCGGCCTTCCCTTTCGAAATAATTTCAGTAATTTGCAGTGATTTCAGTTCGGAAATAAAGATCATACCGAATATGGTGAAATACGCGGCCACAAGAATGACAACATTGGCGCAAAGGGTTGTTAAACTGGTTCCGGCCATTTAGTTCCCCGGTATTGAAATGTACACTACTTTTCTCGTCCCTACTACTTGGACACTACCACACTTGTTTAACCTCGCCTTGGTAACTCGTATGCAAACAAAACCATGAC